TTGTGTATTATTAGCTATACTGGTTGTGCAGAACAATGCTGCAGACCCTTTCTAGTTCATACTTCACCAACTCATGTATGCAACTGGCATTATATTTGCTGACCTGAGCTGAATGTGCAGGAATCTTGGTGCAGACTCTGTGGCAGTAGGATATGCCCTCTCTCTGCCATCCATGTCCATACAGCCTGATGACATCCATACAGAGGATGTTAGTCATGCTGCTCCATAGGTCTTTTATTAAGGATGCTCCATGATCTGAGTGCCTGCCAAAGACCACACAGGCTTCAAATGAAGAAACTCATCATATCGGTATAGCCATGGTCAATCAGGATGTTTCTGAAATCAGTGAATTTACAAACCATAGACAGTTCATCTCCAATTGTGGTTATCCCAAGCACTAGCATAGCTTTTTTTCCCAGGAACCGACGAGCTAATTGACACATGCTCTTAATTTCCTTCTTGTTCATGGTTTATTCAAATCAAGCTGCAGAAATATCAAAAAAACCTCACCTGTAGCTGGATTTTTCACCAATGCAGATTATTGGGGGAAAAAAATCACAGATTTTTTTTGGCAACAGCTCTGAGTCTAGAAAGCTTGAGCAGCTTCCCAGCAGGCAGGAAAGATTCCAAAACTCACTGGAGCTGTGGTTACACTGCCCTGTCCAATACATTTGAGTAGAACAACCTGAATAACATTACTCCAGAAATGTTTCCCAGTTTCTTTCTATTTATAGCAAGGAAATGTTTGGCTAGGGCTCAGTCAATCCTTACTGCAGTGTGAGTGACTAAGCACCATTAAGAAGTTCTCAGAAAAGCTAAGCATCTTTCTTAGTCTTCAAAGCCTGGATTGACTGACTTTCAAAAGCTTTAGTGCAGTTAGAGGCCAAGCAGAGAGCCTGAGGACACTTCTGATGGTCCATTTCTCATCTATGCTGAGTATTGCAATAATTATTATGGTGTGCAAATCACCTGGAGTACACTGCCTTCTCTGGATACAACTGGTAATGCTTTCGGAGCTTATGTACAAAGTATGACAAACAATATGTATGGACCTGTCACTTCATTACCTACCCACTGCTCTGGATTATTCCACCACATCTTAGCATCCATTATAACTGGGTGGACTTTTACTCCTGCCTCATGTGGAACTACTATAATTCTCTTTCTTCTTCAGGGTAAAACTGCTGGTACAGTCACCATAGCTGGGCTTCGCGAACGAAGATTTGAGAAGGGCTCTACCCACGTTTGTTACAAGCGCGCTGGTGGCTAAAAAGGCCAATATGAGATAGACACATCCGGTTGCAAAAGGCACAGCAGAAAGACTCCTTAGGTGGTATATTCTGCAAGACACGATTCTTTCTGAGTTGTCTTTTCTCCTCAAGAGTGATCCTGCGTGCTTTCTCAAAAGCATCAGCAGTGAAAACAAACAAAAAAACCCCAAAACCAAATAAAAAACAACTAACCAACCAAACAAAAACACAAAAAAAACCCCCAAAGGCTCATAAGCACAGTGATGACTGCACTCTGCAGTTATCTGTTAAGTTATTGTGATTATCTTGAGGCTAAAGACCCAACAATTCTGACCTGCACCAACCATTAGTCTGTAGGATCGCATTTGTATCTAGGCCAACACTTCATGCCCATGAAGAAGATCCCCATGGCCTCAAACAGCTGTTAGGAACAGTGGCTATTTATGCGGTATCTGTAGAATACTGATCAAGAAATGAGCAGGTTATCCTCTCTCTCCTTTTCTAGCAGTGTTAGCCAATAGGAAGGCAAAGAAGACCAGAGCCAAGTGGATTCATTTGGTGGCAGGGATTTGCATGGCGCTGCTGGGGCCTAAACAACTTGTGAATATTTAACACTGACTCTGTCACAGTTGGACTCTGCCACAGCTGAGAACAAAAATGTTGCAAACTAGTTGGGTCTGACTGCTTCTTGCCCAGCTATGCAAGACACTTGGACTTTGGACTGGGGTATAAAACACTGGAAAGAAATTTCAGACATCAGAGGCCGGAAGGACTGAGCGGGACACATGAAGGAGGTTAAGTAAAATAGTCTCATCTGTAAACAGGATGTGGTTATTGTGTAAGAACTGGAGGCCCCAAAGAAGCTCTCGAATACAGCAGCTAAATCCTGTGAGATAATGTGGATTTTTGCTGAACTATAAAATTAAAAGGCCTATTACTGTTCCCACTGACATCCCAGTGAACCCAGGGGTTTTTTTCACAAATTTTCCAGAGGAAATTACTCTAAAATTTTTTATAGGAAGAGCTCTGACGTCCCAGGGAGCATTGTTTTGTTGAATGGCATCAACCAGTAAGCCTGAAGAAAGAGAACTGCTGTCCTCTCAAAGTTGTGCATATTGTATCATTTGCCTAAATGTTTGCAAGTATAGATACAATGTTGCAATAATGAATGGGGGGGGGTTCTCCTGGTACGTGCTAAGGTAAACAGAAAATCCAATCCAATCTCTCATCTAAAAATGTACAGTCCAATTAAAAAATGCATTCATGGGCTAAGCACATAGAAGGTAAGAAAAGGAAAGAAATTCTAATAAAAAAAGTGGGCTTTTCAAGTCCTTTAATTTGTCAGCCAGTGTTTGAAGATGATTAATACTACTATAAATAATAAGGTTAGTTGTGCTATCAAAGTTGTAACTAGGAGTGTTTGCAGGGTTTGGTCTAACACATACAGACAAGAGGACTCAAATGGACTATAACTTACATTCTTAAAGTTATACACATATATGTCTTTACCTGTAACAGTTTGTATTTACAGTCAAACAGTCAAACATGGCCAAGTTCTCCAAGCTTTTTCCTGGTTTATTGTGTTACAATAAGCACAAGTGAGTAGATGGGAAAATAGACATTACACTGTAACTTATATACATTAACTAAAATCTGTCACAGATAACTAAAGACACACTGAAAATGCACACATGTATCTTTTAAAATTTAAGTTGTTTTTTATATCAGATATTTATTGAACCTTAATTAAGTCTGATTATTTTATTTCTAGGGCTTTTGCCATCTCTGGAAGCATTCTTTCACATTTTACTAAGATGATTTCAGGAGATGTCCAACAGTCCTGGTAGCACAAAAGAACAGCTCTGTACGTTCACTTTGCAGGAATATGTGAACTGTCTTGGTTTCTTTCAAATGCTTATACATGGTATACCTGCTGGCAATATGGCTGTAAATTAACATGGGCTTAAAGGTCTAAGAAGAGTTTGTGGATTTTTTACTTCTAATTATGATGATGGCTGCATCATAGCTTTTCGCTGCATTCCAATTATGCTTATCCCTCTGTGCACTACGACCTTTACTGTGCTAACAAAGCATGCCTGGCTATCAGGCTGGAAACACCATTTGAAAGGACCATTTCACAGTGTGCAGAGACTTTTAGTGCTAAGGCATTCATGCTGTAGCTTGCAGATGAGAGCCAGTGTCTTGAATCACACCTCTACAAGTTTTCTCTCCAAAAGTGATGATTGATCTTCCAGTTGATTTTAGTTGAAAAGGAAGTTCAATAATGAGTCACAAATAATAATTATCTCCGCCAATGTAACAACGATTGAGACGAGTGATACTTATTACCTGACCACTGACCAGATAATCCAAAAATGCAAACTAGTACTAAAAGAAAAATAAAAGCCGAGTACAGAATACCGTACAACAGCGGTTATCAGGAAGAAACGTTTGACTCTGTGCCACCGGTTTACATTGGTCTTTCAGCCGTAAGAATGAATGGAAGCTCCTTCGTAATCCCTGCGCTCACCTGGCGACGCTAGGGACTGGCTGTGCCTCCGCCCGGGCGGTGTTGGCCCCTTTAGGCCACTCTCAGCAGGCGCTCCCAGGTCGGGGCCACACCCCCAGCACGGCGGTCGGGGTGAGGGGTACGGGGGGCTCACACACACCCCTCCGCTACCTCCCCTCTCCTCGTCCTCAGTCCCGCCGCCGCTCTGCGCTCCCTTGGCCTTGGCGGACCCGCTGTCCGGCCGCCGCCCAGGGCGGCACCACCACGGGGGAACGCCCGGCACTGCCCTGGCCTCGGCCGACACTCGCCCCGCCGCCCGGGATGAGGCACAGCCCCGCCGGCCCCGCCGCCGGGGAATCTCTCGCGGGAAATACGCGTGGAGGGCGGCTCCGCGGCAGCCGCCGTGCACCTCCGGCGTCGCGCCAGCGGCAGGGGTGGCGCTGCCCACGGCAGCCGCGACCTCCGGCCGCCACCACCTGTTACCTGATTCCGCCTCCGCCCGGCCGGAGGCCAACCCTCGGCTCCCGCCGCCCCGCCGCGCCCCACTCGCGCCCCGCACGCCGCCCCGGCCCCTGCACGGCGCGGCGGGGCGGGGGGAGCGCGCACCGCCACATCCGGGTGCCGGCGCTCTCAGCGCGCATGAGCGGCCGCCCCGCCGCTGCTGGGCACGGCGCCGCGGTACCGCCGCTGCCGCCGCCGCCGCTCCTCCCCGGGGCGCTGCGCTCCGCGCTGTCAGGCAAGGGGGAGCGACCGCGAGGCGGGGGAGGCGCCCTCCGCAGCAGCAGGAGGAGGAGGAGGAGGGGGATGGTTGTGGGGGCGGGCAGCGGCAGCCGCTGGCAGCAGCCGGGAGAAGCCCCGCTGGTGACTGGCTGGCGGCACACGCAGCTCTGAGGAGGCGGAGGGTGCCTGAGCCTAGCCGCGGGGCGGGAGACTGCTGCCGCGGGGGGAGAGGCTGCGGCGGCGGGCAGGGACCGGCACACACGCACACGCCCACACACACGCACGCATACACACACACACACACACGTAGGGACAGGTGACAGCGGCGGCCGCGGCTGCCACGATGTGAGGCGGGGGGCGCGGGGGCTCCGCGGAGGGGCGAGGCGAGGCAGCCCGCACAGCTCCGGCGACGGGAGGGGCGGCTGGGGCGGGGCCGGCCGGGCCCGCGGCGATCCCCGGCGGGCAGGGCGCGGGGCGTGGAGCGGCCGCGGGCGGCGAGTCGGGACCGGCGGTGGCGGCGCTTAGTGGGCTGATCGGCTCCTGTTTGCTTGGCTCCAGTCTGCGTCTCCGAGCCCGCGGGCCCCGATGAGAAGCGCCCCTGCGCTGCCGGACTGACGCCTCGCCGCCCTCCCCGCGCACGAGAAGGAGCGCGGCGCCCCCGATCGCGGGCCGCCCCTGCACCGCCCTCCCCGGCGGGGGCTCGTCTGCCGCCTGCGGGGCGGGCGGCGCGGTGGTGACAGCGCGGCGGCGGCGAGGCCGGGGGAGCGGGAGCGCCGCCGCCGAAGACCATGAGGAAATTTAACATTAGGAAGGTGCTGGACGGCCTGACGGCGGTCTCCGCCGTCGCCTCGGCGTCGTCCGCCGCGCAGCAACAGCAGGCGGGGAACCGGGAGACGGAAATCCAGGAGACGCTCCAGTCCGAGCACTTCCAGCTCTGCAAGGTGAATGAATGCTGCAGCCCCGAGCCGGCTGGTGGCCGGGGAAGGGGGCGCGCCGCCGCGATGGGAGCTGCGGGCTTTGCTCCTCCGTGCCGAGCCTGCCGAGCCTGCCCGCTGCTCCTGTTTACTTGTTGGATTTCTGTATTTCGGGGGGTGAAGAAGGGAAGAAAGCGGCGGGTGTAGCTGTACAGGTCTTGCTGGATTACTCTAGTCATCTTTCTTGGAGAGTCTCAGGGTTTGTCGTCTTCTAGTAATACTGACATGTTCATGAAGGCTTCGTAGAAAGAGTTGGATGGATGGGGAAAGGAGTGATACCTAGCTGTAGCGCAGATGTGATTATCGCGGCATTTGAGTAGAAACCTCTGCTAATGGGCCCGAAGGACAGGGGATCTGTTGCTCTGCGTTATTTGGAAATGCATTTTTCCTGTTTCTTTACGCCTGAAAAAGGCTGTCGTCTTCCGTGGTGGTTTCACTGCAGTGTGTTGCCGAGTTGCTGATGCTGCTATTGCAAATCTTCTCTAGAGACAAAGTTCCTGTTTATTTATTTGCTTGCGTGTGATACACTAACTGCGATTTGTGTCTGCACATTTCAGAAAATGATGCAGCGAATTAACCACGAGCTGTACCAAGAGGAATAAAAGCTGATTTGAATATCAATGCCCATTTTTATCTTTGCAATGCACCCATGGCCTAGCTTGACATGGATGAGCTTGTTCATGGATTCTCCTACTTGTTTTTTCTAGTATTGCAGACATTTCTGCTGCTTTTGCAAGGTGGTCACAAAGGATAGGGAAGAGAGCAGAGCTGTTGTCAGTTAGATCTTATTTGCTTGCGAAATACAGAGTTGTGGGGTATGCCTGCAACTTCAGTTAAGTAGGAGTATATCAGAAGTTTGCTTTGTGTTTATGAGATCCTGGAATACCCCTGCTTTAAACTAAAGGTTTTGAAACAGAAAAGCTAGCATTTGTATGGCTTATACTGTGTGTGTGTTTATAGCAAAAATGAGAGTAGGTGACACTTTTATTATGTTCTCAATTCTGATGAATTGCAGCCTGAGAAGCATAATGGAGTTATTGCTTGGTCGATTACCAAATTAGTCTTGGCTAACCAAAAAGCTAGAAGTGCCAATAGCTTCATATTAAGAGAGAATCCCATTGTTGAGGTGGGGTATTTTTTGGTTTTGTTAATTCTGGGGCTGGCTGTTCTCTTTGGGGAAAGTACAGAGTGAGAGTTTGGTTCTGTCAAGCTCAGGTTGTTTTCTTTTTTCCCTGCTGAGAGAGGTTGCACTGTCATGTGGAGCCCATTGGATTGAAATTGAAGTGATTCTGAGAAAAGCAAGTCTTTAGTAATTTGTAATAGCTCTGATGGCAAGTCCAGCTTTGTTGCCAAACTTGCTAGGCATATCTCACATTTTAATAGTTTAATGTCTTTGTTAGAGCTAAAAATAAGATTACTCAGGGAATGAAGTAGACAAAAAAGTAAAATGCTGAGTTGATACAGAAGAAAGGTAGGATTCAAATTAAGTTTCAGTAAGTCTGAATATCACTTGGTGCTCAAGGATGAATGAGTAATTATGACTGGAAAACATCGTTTATAATTGGTTCATGTAAGACAGCTGATTTTCTCAGTCTGTCATTTAAATGCTTTGTAGTTCCTTTTTAAATTGTGATTAACGCTGAATCCTGTTTTCTAACATACAGTATTGATTCTGTTTATTTTTGGTATCCTGCTTGACACATCATTACTGCGATCCTCTGACTTGTTAGACCGTACGCCATGGTTTCCCCTATCAACCTTCAGCCTTGGCATTTGATCCGGTTCAGAAAATACTGGCCATCGGGACTCAGAGTGGAGCACTAAGGCTGTATCCTTTTGTATTCTGAAGTGGAATTAGTGCACTTTACGCAAGCGATGTTTTGATTCAGCTGCTGGAACCCTTCAGAAGTCTGGTGGGAACCAGGTATGCAGGAGGGGAGAAAAAAAACAAGCTCTGTTTTCTGTTTGTGGGTGGCTTGGTTGTTATGGTTGCTTTTTGTGTCAGTTCAAGTTGTGTTCATGATGTGAGGCATGGCTGATCAGTCCCCATTATCTCAAGTTAATATATACATTTTGTAGAGGATTACTAGTGTGCTGACAGTTTACAGCAGCTGACTGCAAATCTAAAGAGAGCTCTATTTTGTTCTGCTCTGTCCTTTGGGATTGAAACATTCTGTGCTGCTTGCTAAGGGTGGGTTTTTGAGGGTTTTTTTGGTTGGTTTTTTTGGGGTGGTGGGCTTACTTTTGCTGGGCTTGTTCCTGAGATAAGCTTTGTAATGCTGTAGTTACCTGCTACTAATTCTGAGTAGCCAGATGATGGTTTCAAGTGGTAACAGTAAAGGGTACAGGAATTATATCTTGCTAATAGTTTCCTAGTGACTGAGATAAGCAAAATGAATTTTTGAAATAAGGGCACCAGTAACCCTGCTTCCTTTTGTTCACTAAAAAGTGAACTACCCATATGTTCATAGCCATATGGTACCAGAGCCATATGGTACTATCCAAGCCATGTAACAACATATGTGTTTTAACTTTTATTTTTAAAAGATGATGTCCTGTAGATTCTTTAATCCATGCTGCTATTGCCCAAACCTTTGCTTTTCAGCGTAAGATAATTAATTGAATTCTTTGTTGTCCTAAAATTGGCTGAACTCTAAACACTATGGGGAAGGCTTAGGCCATCTTGCTAGAAAAATTGACTTAATCTTCTTTAAACTGTAGGTAAATATAATATTTTCCTTTGCTACTTATATTAGTCTACAAGTACACCTTGTTTGTTTCTTTCTGGAACATCACTACTGTACTAACTTACTGTCTGTAAGGTTAATTGCTTTAAGAGGATTGACTTAAAAGTTGAAAACTAGAACTGAAAAACTAGATTTGTATTATGAACTCCCAAGGTTTCTTAATTCAAAGCATGACGAACAGTGATGACAATGCAGTGTTCTTAATGCTGTATTTGAAACTACTCTTAACTCCATAAACTATTGTTTTGAAAAGGTCATAAAGTTGGTGTAAATAAAGAGTACAGTTCGTGTAGGTGATGTTGTTAATAATAATAATAAAAGTGAGAAAGCAATAAATAAGAAAGCAAGAGACATAAAAGTAAGGATTTGGATTGGAAGAAAAGGAGAGATGAAAATGTACCTATTTAGAGCTTGCCTATTATTTTGGGCAACATAATGTTGCAGTTTGGATAATGATGACTCAACAAAACCTGTTTATGGATGCTTTTATGTGACTACACACACCTATGAATTCTTGGAGTGTGAATTACTTTCTAAATAATCGAGAGAGCAATTGGAAAATTGTTGGGGAAGAAACAGTTACTGTGAGAAAACTGCAGAAAATGTATTTTCTAAAGATAGGGAAGAGGTTGCATGCAGAGGCTGAGAGGTTAGTGCTCCCCTAACTTGATGAGGAATATACTTCTCAGTACTTTGATACAGTTCTTGATTCTTGGAAGAACTGCTTAAAAGCTCTCGACGTAAGCTGTAAACAGACAACACTGCAAAAGTTGCATCTCCTGTGATTACTTCCTCTTGTCGATGGAGGAGTGCAGGCAGAAGGAATAGACTTAGATTCCCAATACGTATTCCCAGTGTAAAACCAGCCCCTCGCTTTCTGCCTAATGAAACCAGTTTGAAAAGCACTCATTGAGAAAGAGTAAAGCTTGCAAGAAGTGCTTATTTCATTCTATTGCTAAGAGATAAAAACAGAGCCAAAAAGTGCTTGTTGACCCTCAGAATGATTTGCCTGCTAAGGTTTTTATGAATAATAAATTATGTGCAAGGGTTCATTAAAGTGGGAGCCACTTACTCTTTAAAGCTGCAAGAGTGTTTTTAATTGAAATGAGGTATGGACTAGAAAGACTGAGTGTCAGTAAAGTGATATTCATTGAGAAATAAATCCAAAAGTGGGATCTTAATTTTCTTCTGTTTTCATGCTGTGAGAGTACAGAAGTAAAGGAATGATAATGCTTCTTTCATTGCCTACCAGCAAATGGGAGCTGGGTATTAGTGTTTTCCTTGTGTCTTCAAGTATAGGTGAATCTTTTCAAGCTTTCACTGCTTTTCTATTGTAAGTAAGTGATCTGAGGAATTGGGAAACAAGTCTTTTTCTAGAAAGGGTATTAAAGATAAAATATTCTTGAATCAAGGAATGAGAACCTGTTTGAAATTTCATATGAGGAAATTAATGTTAAAGTCCTGATTTGACTTCAGGTATTTATCAGCTAAATAATGTCTTTACAGAGGTTATCTGTATTTGATCAGACTTCGATCTGGGTATTTTAAATTCAGAACCAGTATCGATCAGAACAGGTGGAATTTTCTTAGCCACACTTGTCTCATTCGTCTTTATGAGGACTGTAACCACTAGTGAAAGAACAGAGAGACTTCTAATACACAAATACTAAATGTTGTCTCTAGTACTGTTATAGTGATGTGTGAAAATAGAACTAAAGCTTTTTCTGAAAACACAAAATCTGTGGATGCAAATATACTATCAGTTCACTGACTTTGTCTTTATCTCTAATAGATAAATATACTAAATAACATCAACGCTATATTGAGTTCACTGAATCCACAAAATAATTGTAAAAATGAAAATAGCTAAACTATAGATGTCATGTTTCCCTAGTTGAACTGAAGTAGAATTACTACTCTGTTAATATTCTTTGCCTCTAGGCTCGATGGGTTAAAATTGGATGGGAGTGTTGTGTAGTTGGTAACTTAGTGTGCCAGAGGTATGACTGCCGTTCCATGCCTATAAGCAGCAGTTGGTTCAAGATCTTGCAGTTTTAAGAGGGATAGAAGTCCATAAAAATACTAGGAGAAGATTGCTTTTAGAGTAAAACTTAAACCTAAAGAGTCATCAAAGGTGGTTTGAGATTATTCACTACCTTAACTTCAGCAGTATATTCCTTGTATTCCTTTTAAAAATCTTGATTCTACTTCCAGAGTTACTTAGGAATATTTCTAGCTCTTTAGCTAAAAGACTAAAAAGTAAGTGTTTGAGGCAGACTGGTGTTACTCAGGTATTAACCTTAAATGGAGAAGTATTTTTTCCCTCCGTAGAAAGGAATACTTTGAGCAATTACCAACAAAGGCTGTGTTCTGTTTTCAGCTCTGAAGAACAGCTTGGTTCCTTTACTGTGTATGAGGAAAAGTTGCAGTGAGTAGCTTAGTAGAATACAAACCTTGGACAGCCAGCTGATGTGACCATCTCCCTGACATAAGGATCTGTTGAAAATAGTTGTTTGATTCTGTTTTCACTGTTGCAGGGGAAATGGAGTGATGAGGTAGGCAGAAGGGCAGATGCACAGTGACATAAAATCTCAAATGATTTGTCACAAACAGTTGCACTCACCTGGATATGCTGATCCAGTTGTTCCTCTGAGTATGTGGTATGTGATGCTGATTGGAGGACACTTGTTCCAGATGCTTGAGGTGTTTGAGTCTTGGCTTGAGCCTGCCTCTAGTTTGGCACTTCTGCCTCGGGCTCCCCCCTTCTTCACAGTGCTGGATTTTTGTGGATGTGATCCCCACAGGAAGCAGTTGTGCTTTCTATTGATTTCAACCTGCTATGGTCATTGCAGGTCAATATCTTTGGCTTTCTCCATACTTGAAGGGATTTAGCTGCTGTTACCAGGATGGCTTTTGCCTTTTGGTCTGCTGTTGCAACTTGTGAGATATCAAGTAGTTAAAAGTTCATCTATGCTTTGCTTCTTTTCCATGTGCATAATTGGCTTTGCTTTGTTTTCTCAGCAGATATAAAGCCTTTTAATGAGTTAGCTTAGTATATCTACTCATGGTTTAAGTTGATGTCATTGGCTAGACTTCACCCCATGACATCCAGGCAATGTTCAGTGTCATAGGTAATAGCCCTGCTTCCATGCTGTCCATTGCTCTCTCTCTTCTACTTAGCAGTCCCTCTAGAAGTCTAATGTGATCTGAGCGGGGTGGCATATAAACTCTAAAAAGGCTTAAGAAAGATGAAATGGACTTTTTCAGGACTTTTTTTTGTCTTTAGGATGATGTTTCCTCAGAACTTTACGTCCAGGGCCCTGTACAATTATTAATTTAGTAGTCAGCTGAGCTTTTTTGTTCGCTTTTATAAGGTAGAATAAACTGTGAAGCTAAAGCAGAGGAAATTGAAGTAATTCTCATGCCCTCTGCAATTTAACTGCTCCATATTAAACAAGTTTCTTCATTTTTCTGCACTTTAATTTCTCAGTAGAAAAACTAGAACAATATATCAAATGAGATGTATTGTGATTGTCTGCCAACATGAATGCAATATCTTTATTGATGCTTCGTGACTTAAAAATACACATTTACAGCTTGAAGCTCAGCCTATCTCTTGATAGAAGGAATTCTTAAAAGGAAGACCATTGCCACTAGAAATTCTTGAGAATAACTGTTGTACCTTTCACACAGACCAAATTGTGCCTCAGACTCTTTATTCCCAGCAGAATAGGTTATTTAATTTAGGTTTTTCTTTCTCTTGGAAACCAAGTTCACAGGAAGGAAAAAAATTAGATTGTTTGTCATTCTGTCATTAAATATCTGAAGATTCCAGTCATTCTGAGTGTCAGTAGCTGTTACTTTCTCCACAGACTTTTATGTAAGAAAAAGGCTGAAGTTTTTATGTATTTGAGGTGTATAAAGCTTGCTTTCTGTGATTTCCATTCTCTGCCCTTTGTGAGAACTCACAACTTAATTTTTTTTATCAAAATAGCCTGGGTGTGAGGTTCCACGCAGTCAGTTTCTGAATTCTCTGGAGCTCTAACAAAATACTATTTCAAACTTGTGATGTGGTTATATC